GCCTTGGTGGAAAGTGCGTTTGCGTGGCGCCGTGCCACTGGGGAGCGCGCGTAAACGTGGCGTGTCGTTGGTGAGCAGGATGATTTGTGGTATCAAGAGTGTCCCAAAAGAGTGCCCGGCAAGAGCTTCCTACAAGAGTGACCCGCAAGAGTGTCCTACAAGAGTGTCCCAGATAGAGTGTCCCACAAGAGTGTCCCGTATTAGTGTCCCACAAGAGTGTCCCAAAAGAGTGTCCCGCAACCGTGTCCAGAAGAGTGTCTCACAAGAGTGTCCCTAAAGAGTGTCCCACAAGAGTGTCCTATGAGAGTTCCTACAAGAGTGTCCCACAAGAGTTTCCTACAAGAGTGTCCCACAAGAGTGTCCCACAAGAGTGTCCCAAAAGAGTGCCCGACAAGAGTGTCCCACAAGAGTGTCCCACAAGAGTGTCCTACAAGAGTGTCCCACAAGAGTGTCCTACAAGAGTATCCCACAAGAGTTTCCTACAAGAGTGTCCCACAAGAGTGTCCCACAAGAGTGTCCCACAAGAGTGTCCTACAAGAGTGTCCCACAAGAGTGTCCTGTAAGAGTGCTGCTCAAGAGTTTCCTACAAGAGTGACCCACAAGAGTGTCCCACAAGAGTGTCTCACAAGAGTGTACCTTAAGAGTGTCCTACAAGAGTATCCCACAAGAGTGTCCCACAAGAGTGTCCCAGAAGAGTGTCCCACAAGAGTGTCCTACAAGAGTGTCATTTGGACATATGTAGCTTTTCGAACGTGTTTGCATTCGGGTTCGCGGGCTGCATCCTTTTTCATGTCTAAGGTGGAGTGTCTTAAGGTGGAGTGTTTTTTTTGACTTTCAGGCTGATCTGGTCTTTTTGACCCGAAAAGCGCATCCCTTTCTTCCTCCCTCCCGGTCCAACGGTCTGGCTCCGCCGCCTGTGACGCTGCCGGCCATGGTGTCGCCCGAGGGGAAGGCAGCACCGTCCTCATGGAGCGGGGACGGTGAGCACACCGTTGAAACATGGCGAAGCCAAACGCCATGGGAAAGGGACATGGAATTCCTTGAAACATGGCGAAGCTCCGTGCTTTCATTCGTGTCCAAACGGTGAAGCAACGAAAAGAACGCGAATTAAACACGGTCAATCGAGGAAAAAACACGTAAGTTCACAAGGTGCGACAAATGTTCATTTTTCTGTCGGCTTGGGGTGATTTGGACTGAACTCAGATTTGTCCAGGAACCGGGGAAAAGATACAAGTCATGGGCCATGCCAGTTTCCGCAAAGCCACTGAGAGTCGATCACGTTCGCCAAGGTCAAGGGAAACCCAGTGGGACGACACTGAAACATTCCGAGTGACATGGCAACGCGTGTCCGCGAACCATCGTGCGCTGGTACGTTGGTCCATACGCTTGCACTTACCACCATGGCGGCTGTGATTGCCCAGGTTACGCTGGCTGCGCGGGTTCCGCAGGTGGTGCTGCTGCTCGGTGCAATTGGCGTCGTTGGTGTGACCAACTGGCGTTGTCGGTGTAAGCGATGCACTTGGTGTAACCGGTGTCATGAGTGCAACCAGTGTACAGCAAAATTATGGACACTGATTGCAAAAGCGCACCAAAAAGATTAGGAGCAGGAGTCTACACTGGTTGATCTATAACTATAACATTCAAAAGTACTACTAACTAGTACACCCTGGGATGCCAATTCAAGGACATTCCAGAGTAATCAATCAAAGCAGTTGATGCCAGAAGTTGGTGTAAACACTACTCCCAATGCCATGTTTAAAACCCACCATCTGCGCCAACTCTTTCGGGAGTTGTCTGTTACCATTTCACTCCCAACCAGCATGATATTGGTGCGAACACAACACGCTCGGACCCGTGCACAGCGATCAGAGCGCCAAGGCTCCGCATGCGAATCCTTTGGGATGATGGTCTTGAAGAGCCGCTTCACCTAGCAAGGAACGAACGTTCCGGGCGACGTGGAGAAAAAGAGCGGTGAAGAGGTCAAAGGCGAGACAAAAGGGTCGACCGATGAGACCGATGAGACCCGGCATGAGGCGAAAGCACCTTTCATCACGATTCTTCGGCTGGAAAGCTTCCGGTGTGTGTGCACATCCACGCACACTCTCCGCGCGAAACATGTAACATTCCTCGCGGCGGCGCCAAACGTGCAATGTGTCGCGTCTTGGGTTTTTTCGGGCACCTCGGGTGTGTCGGGCCGGGAGCGCTGGATGCTCATTTTCAGAACTCGATTGAGCAGCTGGCCATAGCAAAGCGCGAACCTGAGGGCTGGCCGTGGGAAAAGGGCTGGCCTGATCCGGCATGGGTTCTGATTGATTGGTGCAGCTGATTCGAATCTTGGTGCAGATTCCGGCCAAGAATCAGTGCAGTTCTGGTGGATTCGGGTGAATTTGTATGGGTGGATCCAAGAATGGCGTTAACCATTGGTATGAGAGACACGAGAGACACGAGTCACTAGACCCATTAGACACGAAAGACTCTGGTCTTTGACTTCTTCTAGCTACAAACCCGCACCCAGGACGACCAAATGGAGTCATACAAGCAACGTTCGAAGATGGTGCAACAAGTATCACGAGAGCATTCAGAAGTAAAAATCGCGAATTATCTTGTACGGGGCACCTACACGGCAATCGATCAATCTGGGAATCGTTTGGACCACTGAAGTGTTTGAGCCCATGGGCTGGTAACAAACCACCACGGGTCAATCTGGGAGTATTGGGAGCTTTGACCCATTTGGGATTCAGCAAATTCAAACTATGACTGAACATCTTGCCTGAGGCGGCCGAGACGGCTGAGACCAAAGGGATCCACTTGATGTGCCAAGTGTCAAGTCGAAGCCGACATGAATCCCATTCGCTTACACTTTTGGTTTAGAGTTTAGACAGTCGATCCCATCATTTGACATCCGAAACCAACCGCGAAACAGTCCGAGACCGTCCGCCGGTCCTGAGACGTCCAAGGAGCAAAGCCATGCGCAGGGGCTGGAAGCCACAGAGGAGGCCGCAAAGGGCCAGCGAAAAGCCCACACCCTCCCAGCTAAATGCCAAAGATCCTGGCAGATTGGAAGACTTAGAAGAGTCACACCTGGAGGATTATGATGTTCTTACAAAAGCCAACCCTATAGGGATCGTTTCATGGAGTTGAAGTTCTTTCATGTTCCCCTCACGGACCAGGAGCTTCTTTAAACATTAGATCAGAATCACCTCCTACCCTTAGGGTGCTCCTGCGACCATCGGGGATTTGAGAGGCTCCCAGTAGATGCAAGCAGGGTGTTGCAGATCTTTCGAACATCAACAGTACCAGTCGTAGAAATGTGTAGGACAGTGCGAGCAGGTCCCAGCACATCTCCCATGGGAATGAATCAAATCTGCCAGAATCCTGGCACCCGACCGCTTTGCAGGGGTCGGACCCGACACCGAAACGCGAAACCCTTGCCATTGAAGGGCCTGGATTTGTGATTTCCGAGTAGATGGCACAATCCCGAATTGGTCGGTGGTGTCCTCATGGACCTCCATCTATGTCTAAGGACCTCTTCGGGGGAAACGTGCCATCGAATGGGGGAAACGTGCCATCGAACCTCTGAAACCACTGATTCATGTAGACACTCTTGATTCGGTTTCACCACCCCATACTGAGGAGGTTTTTCAATTGGGAGCAGCGTTTATTCATCAAGAGTCTACGTATGTCTTGGGCCTGAAACCACTGACCTCTCTGATGGGGGTCCGAAGCTCTGCTGCAGGCGCTTTCAGCACGTCCGCACGCTTCCTCCGCAGTTCGGCTCGGCCTGGGTAGATGAGCACTTCCAGGTATCCCAAGGACATCGATTGAGCCTTGCGGGTCCAATACCTGACAGCGAGGAGCAGGCAAATAGCACAGGGTAGAGTACAGCACGAACAGCAGGTGGCGCAGGAAAGGCCACATGAGAAGTGACACAACATGGAGCCACAATGTGGAAGCAACTGGAGAAGTCCACAGAAGCAGCGGTAGAAGAGAACAAGTAGATGAATGAAGAGTGACACGCCCTTTTGAAGTTTGGACTTTAGTGAGATGCACTTTACATCATTTTATCTGTTTTTTTGATTCCTTCCCACAAAACACAAGTATTTTAGAATTGCCTTTGTCCAAAACTGTTTCATGGCTGATGCCGAAAGTCCATCCCCAACAGCAAATTTATGGCTTATACAGTATACATTATGTTTATTCAAAAACTATATTTGTATATATGTATATATATATATAACCTACTATATATATATATATTAATATATAACCGCCTGCAAGTGGATGGAATTGGTGCATCTCCCAAGATTTCTATTACCTTCTGCAACTGACTCCTCTCAAGCCGGCATCTAGAATCTATTTTTGGGCTACATCCTTCGAAGACAAGCCCAACCAAGGTCTGGGGATTCACCCATAGTGAAAATCAAACCTCACCCATGCCCGCGAAAACCAGGCCAAACGGATGCCAAAACAGGTAGCTTCACCACCCTTCAGCCTCTCGTCGTCTTTTCTCTGTCTCCCAACGACCGCAGCCGTGCCCGGTCCAAGCGACACATCCCATTGCAACAGTTGAGAGATCGACATGGCGCGGAACGCCGGCGCTTTAGCGCTTGGCCGGCGCTTATGGCGCCAAGCCCGGTCAAAGGAAATGGCCGTGATGCGAAGACTCGTGGTGGAAGGAAATGTGGATGTTCTGAACCACTGCCCAAGAGTACGAAGAGTCTTGAGTTCGGGATGGGCAGAAGCCAACTCCTGAGCCGTCCTTGTTGTGCAGTCATGGCTTTACATGAAAAGTTGAATGATGTTGAATCGATGTCTTTCTGAAGAGGTTTGTAAACCCCAGGCGCGGGAAAGTGGCGTGTGAGATCTGCACAGGCTGAAGCTTCCTACTCGAAAAGAACCCCCAACCATCCCCAATCAATTTGTTGGACTTGATTGTTAGAGGTCAGGAGGTCCAGGTAAGGAAGACTTCCATACATTTTGTCCGTATATCTTTGGGTATGAAAGGTAAGTAATCTTAAGCGATCCATACCATTACACGCTTTGGATCACTTTGGGATCTTTAGGTGCCAACAATCTGCCAGCCTGAGCCAACCAACGACCGAGTGCCGGCACCAACCAATGACGACCGGTCCATCCCGGCACCGACCGAGCGGTCGTTTCATGTCGACGGACTGTAGCCGGAACAACTTCCCTCGTGGAAGATATGTTTACCAGGGGTCACAAAGGGGTGGTGTTCGGTCCCTAAGTGAGTGGATATGTTTCTTTGTTTTCCTTTTCTCTCTGGTGGCATGAAGCATGAAGAAAAGCTGTGATTTCTGCCTTTCAGGCGCATGCCTAAAATGGTGCGACACGAAAAAACCGGGGTGCTCACCAGTGCTCACCTTCCTTAAGATATCTGGGAGATCGTTGAAAGAACAGGACAACACTTCCCTGGTGCTGCACAGATCATTTTGTGGACATCCGAATCTGTGTCGATGCCAAATACATAAGATTTGCCCTTGCAAGGAGTGTAGCGCCGGGTCACCTACTAGGCACCCTTTTTGAGAACCGGAGTGGTGACGCGCGCGTCCTCATCCGGCTGATCCAAGTGTGACAGGGCCGCTAGGACCTCACGTGGCGCATTCGGGCGCTGTTGGCCCCCCCCCTCCACGTGCGAAAACAAAGAGAAATGCGGAAATGGACTTGACCAGATTGAACAGTATAACTCCCCAAAATTCCCAACGAAGGCAAAGCAAAACAAAGACAGTATAATGGCTCTAAAGCAAATTACATAGAAAGGGGTTATTTTTCCTTGGAAGCTTGGAGGCGACCTCTTGAACAGAAGGGTTTCTGTCCGATGTCATATTTGAGAATGCAACCAACAGTGAGCAGAGATAGCTTGAACATTGAGCACAACCAAGCAAACCATGACTCGATGTGCTAGCCCGGGTAAGGAGAGTTGATGGCATCATGCGAGCTGCCAGGCGCCAAGGCTCCGCCAAGGCTCGTCCGCGAGTTCGGCCGTTTCTCAGACCGCGTCGAGACGAGCACGACGCGGTAGGCGAACGCCCATGGCAATTGCACAACCTCTGTGGCAACCGGTCATCTGACCACCCCAGCAGACTTCACAGTCGTCGCCTGCAGCCAGTGGGTAGGAAGTCGGCTGCACGGCTGCATGATTGCCTCGCCTTTTCGGGCATCTCGAACACGAGACAGAGCCGGGAGTCCCGGAGCACAGGAACATACAGGAGCCACGGGAGCAATCCTTCAAAGTCGGAAACACCTGCATAAGATCGCAACTGAGCGCGGAAAACGGGCACCACGCCATGTTGTAGCGCTGCAATCACAGAGTCCCAATCGCTAATAGAATCTCCACACAATATGAATCAGCATTCCGACCTTTGCTTTTGGACTTGACGGACATGGTCTCAGACTCCAACTTGGTTTGGTGTTCTCAACGAATGGACCAGCTGGGATGGTGGGATGATAGTAGAATTAGTAGAACTACAGGCCCTTAATCTCCCTCAAAATCTCTTGGTTCTCGTCATGCACCAGCACCAGCCACACCCACTCCTGTATTCCACCGTCTGTCAGGACTGACATTTGCCTAGAGGCTTCCCCGGGATGTGGCAGGGGCAGCAGCAGCAGCAGCAGCAGCAGCAGCAGCACTTGTATCGACACATCACACACCACTTGACACGAACCGGCGCCTTCTCTAAGTGCCGCTTCTCCTCCTCGTCTACCCGCTGGCTGCGCAGCTCTTCTTGGACCTGGTAGAGCGGCAAGATTTTGGATGGGTTGGGAGCGTGGAAGGTGACCCTGGTATCCATTTAGTTGCGACTTTATGATTAAATACCCTAGGGCCCTAGGGGATCTTGGATTCTTTGTATACAAATGTGAGTTTTGAAGCTGGATCACCTCTCAAGCGGAACACGTACAACCCAACAAGCCTCATACTGTCTCAAATTATTCATCGCATTTCATTGGCCTGAAGCCCAAGCGAATCAAACACCTTCCAGAAGAGCTAAAATCTTGCGACAAATGGTCCCCCAGCGGTCTGCCCGGGCAGGCTCAGCAACACCCATCTGCAAGCACGACAGTCGGACCCACATGCCAGGGGAGGCATGAATAATTTGAACTTTCAAATCGGTGGCTCAAGCCCGAAACGCAGCTTTTTCTACATCTGCGACTGGAGGTACTACAGTAAATGCCTAGGCTACGCAGCCGAGCTTAAGTTTTCCTTATAGCTTTCGGAACACTTACAAGTCCAGTGACGTTTTTGTGTGACAAGTGACAAATCCCAAGTGACAAATCCCTGGGCCTCCTTTATATAGATGGGATCGAACATAATGTCTGCCACCTTTGAAGAGGTGCATCTTTCCCCTCTCAATCCACTGAACAAAACACCTGCAATCTGAGCACGAAGAGATGTACACACAGTTCAAACGTCGGAAGAATCGGTAAATCCCTCCCGCGCGATGCCGCGGCGCCCATTTCATCCACCAGCCTGGCCCCCCCTATCCATCGATGCCGTTCGCCTGCGTTTGGTAGAAGCTCTCAGTGCACTTGCCACTGTGTGCCTGCATTGACTCGCAGCCAAAGCCCCAACATGTCAGCGGGTATGTATGTGAAGGTTCTACTAATTTTACTACAACTACACCCCCGGTCAAAACTCTTGGCTCAATTCCCACACGGCGGCCCACGTAAGCACGGCTTTACTGAAATCATCTGTAATTGAGCCAGGTCTGATGGGTCTGTAGTCCCTAAACATTGGCTGGTTGGGTCTTGCATGTTCTTGCCTTCTTGCCACCGTTGGGTAGTCCCCAGTAGCTGCGTAGCTCTTCCTTCTCAGAGTGATGCTGGCCATGTGGGGATGGGTCCAAACGGAGCAGAACAACAAACTCCATGATGGATAGTGGTCCCCCAATAGATGGCACGGTTTCCAACACATTTTTATATAGACTCCCAAACAGAGACAGACAAATTAGAGAATCACCACTCAAACTGTATTTTTCAAACCGTTTCACTATCTATTTGGGGATCCCTATAGTGGTGATTCTACTTTTTTCTATATCTATTTGGAGGTCCCAACGAACGCGAAAGACTGACACCAGATCGGTTGGTGCCCCTGTTTCGGTGGCACGAGCGAGACCGCACACCCTCTCTGAGGGGAAGGGGGAAGGCACAACCTCTGGGTGAATGGATTGGTTGTGAATGTGTATGAATCTGTGAATCTGCATGCATCTTGAACATGGTGTTGTGAATGTTGTTCTTCGTAGTTGGACATCTCTGAAAGTACCTCTGTCTTACATAAAAATTCGAACAGCTCTGCGGCTCGCTGGGACATTCTGGGACCGGAGATGGCGGAGATGGCCGCGCGGAAGCATCCGGAAAACACACCGGCGACGAACACCAGGCCCGGCCTGATAGCAGCTCAAACTGCAATAGCCAGCTTGGCATCGAGGACATGTATAGCGTGCCTCCCGCGGGCTTCGCGGGCTGCGCAGTCCGGTCAGCGCGGTCCGGTCCGCGCGTTGTGACCTGGTCTGGTCACCCAACCGGTCGGGTCCAAAGCATCGGGCGAACCCTGGAGTCCAAACGGGATCAGGTATATAGGTGGGCCGCCAGGGGTGGGTGCCGGTCTAAGCACCGAACCGAAGGATCATTAGGGTTGGAGCCCTAGGGAATAATCTCCCTGGTGTATCAGTTGAACTTTGAGAATGCTCTGTCCACCGTGGACTTCCAAATGATTGGGTCAAGGACCTCGAATGTCACCATCCTCAGAGGTATATTTGGGAGGTGTGCTTCCTTCAGAATCAATTGTGTGAAGTGCGATGTTGAGTGGGCTACATCTGACAATATCTGGGATCATGTCACCTTGACACTCCATAGGATTGCCATATGCACCTACATGGGCGGTGGCTGACCTGGGGTCAAGTGTATATTCCAGAGAGAGATGGAGTGTTTGGGTTGCTTCCCGCGAACACCTCCCGAGAACCTCAGCTTCCAGCTCCGAACGCCTCGGCCCGAACGCACACGGTGCATACGCTGCTCGGCATGGCGAATCCAGGCGCACGAAGACCAAAAATGGAGAGAGGCACGGCCGGCACGGCTTTTTCTGGCAATCAAATCCTATCTGTGTTGGGTGACTAACTCGAACTAGGGTGGCTCACGGAATGGCTGTTGAATAGGCTCAGGTGTTCTAGGATGTTCTAGGCTGGTTCCTACTTAAATCCGGAGCAGCAAGCTTTTGGGAATCCTGATCCTGTACAACCTCCCCTCTGGCACTAGGAAAAGTCCTCAGATCAAACGTGGCATCACTGGTGTTTCTGAACTGATCGAAAACTTTCTGGCGAACGATCCATGGCACAAATAGACCGGGATTGCTTTGCTAGATGTTAGCCTTCCTTAAGCAAAATGTGCGTGGTGGAAGAGACCACGCGGGCCTCAGTTTGCAAAGGAGCATGACCGCACCACGCATGTTCAAGAGCCATTAAACTGGAACAGGCCCAAATGGTCTGGAACGAGCCATAGTCCACCGCTAAACCTTTGTCTTCAACGCCAGTGGTTGGGAACCCATCGGTGTTCTTCCAGAATCCTGGCTTTCGTTTCGATTCGATCCAGCAACCTGTACACTCTTTCAACTCGGACCCGGGTCGAACTAGCGATCCAC